AATTATACCCTAATAAATTCAGCATTTGTTATTGTGACACGTGCCTTGTTGGTAGCCATTAAGAAAAAACTATGGTCTTATCAGCCTTGTTTTAGTCTTGCCTCTTCATAGCCAACACTATAGGCTCTTTAGTTAAGATATTTACAGCTCATTTTTAATAAAAATGATGCCAAACTTTCTTGGCCCTTGGGAACCAGAGTTTTAAATAACCCCTTGGCCACATAATAATACTTGACACTTTATGGTGCCCTCCAACCAAGGATCTCAAAGTGCTTTACAAACAAGTACTACATTACCATTATTATTTTAACATTAATATTATTATTATTAATATACTTTTCCATTTTACAGCTGAGGAACCTGAGGCACAGAAAGAAAGAGTGATATTTTGCAGTCATTGTATTGAAGAAATAATAGGGTAAAACCAGGATCCAGTTTTGGGACTTGTGGTAGTTTTATGGTAGTTACTCTTGCTTTGCTCTGGTGCAGGACAGTGTAAGCTTACCACACTAACTTTTCCTTCAAGAGAAACATACTTTTCAAGAGAACACGTGAGCATACATTTATCTATTTCCTTGTGTGGATTACTGTTGATTTTCACAATTTTTTTCATCCCTGCCTTGGCACATTTCTGTCCTAGCATCCTCCAGAGGCCAAATGACAGTGAATATGTGGAAATGCTTTAGGAACTACTGCTCTGTGATTGGAAACATATGAGAATACATTGAACTACAAGAATCAACCAAAAGTAAGCACTCTGCAAAGAACCTAAGTCACTTGCCATTGGCCAAATCTATGAGAGTGATGCTCTCCACTTCTAACCACTGTTAGTTAATACTCAGTGGCCTGGTACAATTAACAGTACCTACCTTTGGTTAGTACATTTAGTTTCATATTCAAGGTGTACAGGTCCTTACTCTACTTATCTAGCAAAGTCAGAAAGCCTTCACCTACCAGATAACCAAAGATGCCATGCAATAATTTTTTTCCTGTGGCCCTCAACCCAAAGTCAGTGTAACTCACCCCAACTATGGGCAATAAGCTGGCATATGGCCTAGAGGCAGCATGCAGTATGACTACCAGACCACTAGCATATTCACTCCACAGTTCCACCTCCAGATGGTAGATGTCCCCACTTCCAAAAAGGTCTTAATGTTTGTTAACTAAATAGGCAGACAGTACACAAGTCTCAAGACAGGTCACTCTGTAATGTTTTGCAGCCACACGGCAAGAGGGTAATAATTATTTTGATGCCAATATGGATCATCTTCAATTTATTATGACAAAACATTTCCCCAGGCATTTAAAATATATATATACATTTAATGTTTTGGGACCTGTATTTGCATTGGATCATAATAGATTATGTGCACATGTGCAATCATAAACAGGATGTGCTACCAGAGGCTTCCACAAAAAGCTCTTGAAGATAATCATTATTTTCTTCTTCTCATCATTATCTTAGCAAAGAATCCCCATGCTTGTTTCCTAAATTCTACCTTCACTAAAAAAGAACAGTTTAGAACAGAACATCACTATCTTAAAAGTGGATTTAACAAAACAAAACAAGACAGAAAAAAAAAAAAACCCAACATCTCAATATGTCATGTAGAGAGAACTGGGCAACTCTTTGTCCTTTAAACAACATACAGAATGTGTTAACTCTGAGCTTCATCCCTTTCTCATGTACTTAGAGTCATGTAGTGTCTCTCTCAATCCACAATCTTCTGAGGTGGGCTGGCTCTTTATGGTTTTATATCCCAAACAACAGTACTTTCATGGGGGTGAATGAAGATGTATAAAAAGGAAGAGTGTGCCTGAGCTGGTTCGGGCCCAGTGTTGGAGGCAAAGCTCAATTTGTAATTGACAAGTTTGAAAAGATCTGCAGGTTTGAAATGGCATAGTGCTTTAGGCGGTATATCCAGAAGACTTTCCCAAGAGAGAAAAGTTACAATAATCATCTTGAAAATCCTTCCAAAAAGGTTAAGTACCTAAATAGCTCACTTAAAATCCTTCACAATTTAAGACAAAACTATTTAAATGTCTTTAAAAATAAAAGTCATTTTTGTAATACATTTTGAAACATGAAATCAAAACTTTAGGTCATCAAAAAATAAGGAGTATTTTAGTGTTATTATAAACGTCCATCTTTTTAAGGCCCAAATTTTCTCTACCAAAATATGCATAACATAAACAAACATGAAAATAAAGTAATTAATAATAAAGGAATACGGAATAAGATCTAACATGCCAATGCTATCCAAAAACAATCTACTGAAAGTAGACTGACCATAAATATTCCAAGCACAGTGATATGTATTTTTCCAATGCTAATCATTGCTACTATGTCTGACCACAAAAAAAAAAAAAAATAATGGAATGAAAAACAAAAAGCATACATGCCAACAATGAAAAAATCTACTTGTGTCTAACACGCTGAAGAAATTGCATAAGGGTATCAGAGATGTAATGTGCAATGTTGCCCAAGTTGGCCAAATTTCTGGCATGCTGTGGACTTGGGCAGTCCATATATAATGAGCCTGGAGGATCAGTACAGTGCATTTTAATATTCTTTTTACTAAGAAAGTTAAATATTGTTGTTTGGGAAATCTCCATTTTTAGAACTTTGTCTCCTCTCAGATATACCACTATATTCTGAGATGCTGATGTATCCACCAAAATTCCAAAGAAAGATAAATTATATCAAGTCATTTGAATGTCAAAGCTCCTCATTCCACCTCTTTATTTCAGTTCTTGTGAATATTAGAGCTAGGCCACAGACAGGTGAGATCAGAATAGGGTCCTTTAACAATGAAACCAAAGCAGAGGACTTAGTCCTGATTTTCTTTCTCTCGATCTTCTTTTTTTTCTTTTTTTTTTCCTTTTTTTTTTTTAAACATGAAAACAAACAAAAAATTGCAAGAATGAAGATGATGACAACATAATATCAGAAAGGTATTGTTAACTTCATTCGCTCTAACAGTCACAGACTGGTTAACTCTACCTGCCATCCAACTCTAAGAAATGAGACTCCTGCATTGTGAAAAAGAAGCAAAACCCAACAAAACAAAACAATACAAAGCAACTGCGAATTAATGTAAAAATGGAGTGCAAATGCGACTACAGAATGCGATAAAAACATCAGTGCTGCAGATTCCAGCAACACTTATCAAAATAATTTCTGAAATGTTTCATCTGAAACATAGACAAAGCAATAAAAAGAGGATATATATTTATCATCTTAAGCATAACAATGGGAGTTAAGAGCTTAAAATTAAAAACAAAAAAAGTACTTGGAATGAATAGTGCTACCCTTGTATCCTAAGTAGGCATAAAAATAGTTTCATTTCCTTCTTGTTTTCCACACCATTACACTGAGAACTTCCTTTGTTTCATGTTACCGTTTACAACCTTAATGCAAACATACACACACACGGACACACGCACACACACATACACACTAAAGATACCTACTGCAATAGAAATAGTTGCTTCATTACCTTGTTTGCTTGTTTGCTACATTTGCAAATGTAAACAGCTAGGCAGAGCCAGAACTGACTCTAATGCATGATGGAATATCTTTGTTGCATACGTACACTGTAGAAAATAATTATTCAATATGTCAGGCACCATTATTTGAAATGTAATACATTAATATTTACTAGAAAAATAAGTTTTTTTCCTATTTGTTCTCCCAACTTCTTTAATGAAATAAGTTAATCTGACAGTGCATCCAGTAGCTTGTAATATCTTCTACATCTCCGTGGCAAAAAATAAACTACTGGTTGGGACAATATAATGCAAATTATTAAAGTCAGTCCTTGTACACACATCCTTGTAGCAAGCATTGAGGCTCGACCAACAGCACCTTAAACCAATTAGTTAATGTTCAATTATTTAGCCCTATTTCCCTGAGCAGTTATGCTGAGGAGCCCTCCCTTCACGGATAGTTTTTACAAAGCCTTAAGTATTAAAAGTACTATGAAGACATCTCCTAAGAATCCTATTTAATGCTACTTAACTAAACCTGTATAAATCGAATGAAGGGATTGATTGGTACATATACCAACTGTCAGTCTGTTGTAGCGTAACCTTGCATACTGCCTGACCACAAAGTTTGGAAATTATATTTAACCAAAAATAATAATAATAAATAAATACAGCAGGTTACCTTGTGGAGAAATACCACGTGTTCTGAACAAATTAAAGCCATGGCCTGACATTTATATTCATCTATTTTTTTGAAGTGAGGGGGATTTAGTTACAATGTGCCAAGTGAGATCAGTGACCAACAGGAGGCTTAAAAAATTTCAAACCAGCTCACCATAAACAAGAAAGAAATATCTGGCAAAAAAAAATAATAATAATAAAGTTACTACATAAGCATTGAGGACACTGTTTTTAAGAATGGATATATTTGAACAAAATGAATCTAAACTGCGAACAAAATGACTACCAAATCCTGGGACATCTAAAGGACAAAAATATCAAAGAGGGTGTGCATGTGTATGTACAGGCAGGGCTGGCCAAAAACATTGTGCCGCCAACTGTCACGATTCTTACTGCTCGCTCAACAAGCCTAGCCACAGTTCACATTTAGAGGTCTAAACTGAAACATGGTCAATGAGAGGAGACTAATTAAAGAGAGGGCACCATTTTCCTTCCATTATCCCGGAGAGTCAATATCTCCTCAACTGGCTGGGATTGCATGATTTTATTTTATTTTATTTTTTTTTAATTTAAGCAACCTATTACATGTTTTTGAATGAATGCAACAATAGCCAGCCTAATACTGCTTTCATATGATAGTATGTAAACTCTTTCAAATTCTAGACGGCATTTGTATCTTTACAAACAAAATAGCCATAATTTGGTGGACCTCTGTAAAGAGATTCCCCAGTATACATTAGGCAAGATAGTTTTGACTATAGGTTTTTGTTTTGTTTAATTGTTTATCATTTCCATTCTTTCTCACAGACCATATGTTTCATTTTAAAATCTTGGTAACCTACTCATCAAAACAAAGAAAAATTTTTAAAAAAGGGAATTTCATGTTGGATAAGGCAGGCTCTATGAAGTATTTTTTTTAATAGGTCTTCATAAGACATTACAAGCTATTGAATTCCCATCAAGAAAACCTATTTCTATGTAATTGTGCTAAGTGCTAAGGTTTTACTCTTTAGGTTTTCCATTTTTTTCTGCTTGTGCATTGTTCCTATGCAGGCCCCTCTGGATATGTGTTGTGAAGTCATATTTGTCCGTGCAAAGATGCTGGCATATGCTGCACTGGAAAGGTCCACTGTCACCATGGCAACTCATATGCAAAGCATACATCACTTCATCCAGAAAGACAATGCCACAGTGCACGCATTTTGTTGAAAGTTCATCTTGAGTGCTTCTGTCAACTTTCTCCGTTTTAACTACATTCAAGGGACCTTCATTTTTTACGTTTGGTGGTGCCTTTGTTTTCTCCTTGGAGGCACCGTTTGCAGTTGGCCCAGGTCTGGAATGCTTGATCGCCAAATCTAGAGGAATGTCATTGTCTGATCCAACAGCTGAAAAATGAGGAGGCAGATTGAAGGTGGGATAAGGCACATAGTTTTGGCAAGGATTTGGTAAGCCAGGCACATGACTCAAGTAGTGTGGATTCCCAGGAACGGAGAGCTTATATTTACTCCAGAACCGCAGCCAATCAGCTTCACTCTGGAAGTCATTATGTACAAAAGGAAGTCCAAAAAGTGGGTACTGGTACTTTTCAATTGGGCTGCCTGGTGGAGAATAGTTGGGGTGTTTTGCAGGTCTCATGTACTTTTCTATGGGACTGCCTCTCTCAGAACTTCCTTTCCCTTCAGATACAGATGAACTATTTCCTGGATCTCCAGTACTTTCCTGAGGACTTTTTATCTGAATGTGCAAAGGCTGCATCCTTTTGTGAATATCCAGAGTTTGGCTGACCAGGACTGGCTGCTGAGCAGAATGGCTTTTAGTCAATGAACCCTGGGCTTCGTATTTACTTAGGCTGGAAAGTGGAATTTCTCTCTGATGACTTTCACTTAAGTGATCTTCTGACCTCCTCTCTAAAGGGCTTCCATTGGCCTGCTCCTCACCACTTCCCCTCTGCTGTTTGTTAAGTTGCTCAGCCTGAAGTGCCTCTGGGTTAAGGCGCTTTCTTGTTCGTCTTCTAATAATCTGCTCACCGTTGTTTTGTTTAATGATGTTTAAAGGCCTGGGAGTCTGTAGGGAAACACACAATACAGAAAAGAGAAATATTAAAAAATACATTAAAAATTCCTCACAACTATAAACTACACTAAAGTTCAAAGCGAGGACACTCTTTATGCTATAGACTTACTAAATCTCTTCTTTTTGCCCTAAGCAGGCTCGGAGAAAGTAACCAAAATGAAATGTTTTAACCTAAATCAATGTCCATCTTTGAAGGGGTGGGATTTAGGACAGAAACCTTTAATTTTCTTGAAAGCACCTTTTTCAGACTCAGTAGATGTGTGGACATTCACCATTGATGATAAAGTAGTGAGGAAAACCACCTGAAGAAATTATTTTTCTAAAATACATTCAGCCCTTGAATTATGTAAAAATTAGTCAACAAAGTAATTTGGTAGATAATACTGACAGTAGTGAAAAACAACACAAACAAAAACCATGTATCGCTACAAACTATGTACTGACATGTGGTTCTCCTCTGGCTTCAGTTCACATATCAAAGCTCTAACGTGATGATGTCTACTACTGTCATTTTAAGGAGAAATTGGGGTTAAAAAGGCCAAAAATGTGTAGCTATAATCTGACAGGACTGGGAGCTATTAACGAGAGAGAAAACGCTTTCTTCAGAACCTGAAGACTCAGCAAAGAATGTGACTAAGTCAGAAAGCCCTCACCAGACCTTAACCAAGCTGGCACTTGTAGCCTCCACAGCTGTGAGAAAATCAGTTTCTATTGCTTAAGCCACTCGGTCAAACTAAAGTGCTTTGCCATGATGCTTTAAGGGGACTAATAAATATATCTTTGAAAAGAATCACAAAGGCAAATAATTGATATTTATATCAGAACATACACAATCAAACACAAAGTGTTGTCAGGACTATAAGGAAATTTTCAGGATTCATCACATGGAATTTTTGGCCTTAATTTTATTCTTCTGTTTGAATGATGTCTGTACAGTTATTACTTCTTCACAGGTGAAGCATGAGTTGAAAACCTAAGTACCTCTACAGCTTTGGTTCAAATACCTGGACTGTCATTCTGGTCTACTTAAAATGAATATTGGCTTACATTCAGTTTAAGTGTTTTATTCAGCTTCAACATTATGTGATTAGTACCTACGTCCATGTTCAATTGTTCTATAACTAAATTTTATTCTGTAACTAAAATTTGCAGAGAAGACTATAAAAACTTTGCATGCATAAGGACTCTAAATTTGATTTGTAAAATGAAATAAGTATTCTAAATCAATGTGTATTTATAGATTAAATTTTAGGAGAATGTTCAGACAGTCTGGAATTTCCAAGTAATTATTGGTAATTTATGTGTATATAGGTATCTAATTTGTGAGTAATTCTTAAAATATTTAGACGTTAGTATTAAAGGGAATATTTTAGATATTAAAACAATATAAATGAGAACTTTGGGAGACTATTTCTATTGTAACTAGGAAGACTGTTGGAAATAAAAATAATGCACTTATTACTGGTGATACTAGTATTAATTTCAGAATGAAAACCTGCCCTGGTTTGAATATGTCTCATACACTTTTATTGTATAGTAAAAATTCACAGTATTTATTCTTCATACTAAAATGAAGCCTGGAATTTAATTAATCTTCCAATTTTGTAATTGTTGTCTAACTTTTTATGTGCACATAATTTTTATGTATTTTCATTTATGATCAAATAAAGTAAAAAAAAAAAACCCTCAAAGCTGAGACCATCTTGCCTCTGGACAGATGAATATTAAAATAATTTTTAGAAAAGTTTGGTATATTTCGCAGTGGTTAAATTATCGTAATTTGGCTGAGCAGCTATTCAATTAATTCTTGGACTCTTCATTGGCCAAAGTTCAATTAAAACCATTAATGCCAGTGCTCATTAAACAGAGGCTTGTTGCTGTGCTTAAATGGTGAGAGTTTTAAACAAAAATGTAAAGTGGCAGTAAGGGTCTTGCTACCAAACCCATGTTAATGACTAAGGGCTTTATAGTAGTCTCCATTAGTACCATTGCTGGCAGCGGGCATGTTTTTAAAAAGTGTTTCCAGTGTCCACTTATGAAAATGTTTTGTCTCAAAGTGTATTCCCTGTAGCTGTAATCTTTTCACTGGCCTGTGCTAAGAGCTGCAGTAAAATGCCAAATAAAATGAAAAAAGGCACAGGGAAAAACACTTCTATTGACTAAGTGGGACACTGCTGTTTTAAAGTCGGTGCTTGCCGACAGATGCACTGTCTAAACTATAGAAACATTCTTCAGGGACTCAGAAATTCCTCCTTAGATGGGGAATCTGTCAGTTGACATTCTACTACAGAGTTAAAACTAACATTTTGGATAAAAATTCAAATAACCCCCATGAGCCAAAGCTAGCTGGAGATTTCAGACACAGAGTACCTGTGTCCCTTCTGCTGTGGGGCCCAGAAACACCTGGATTCATGTGCCACTGCCCTGTGCTAGTGCTTGGCCAGCTTGCAAACCGCCAAAATAGCCCTTAAAATTCCAAAATGCAAACTTGAATGTGAACATCCAGGGTGTTTCTATTTCTCTCTTTAACTTCTGTTTATTTTTGAAGTTTCTCTTCCTCCCTAAATTAAATCCAGCCAATTCAGTTAACATGTAGTTAAACTACCTGTTATGTGAAGTTCCCAGAAATCAATCCTTTCTACTGCTAAATCAAAGAAGCATAATGTATTACTAATGACCTTAAATGGATCTCCCATAATGTTTAAGCCGTTTTCACAATAACTCATATGTACATCCCAAATGACTGTATAAACAACCCTGCAAAGACAGACAACACAAGCAATGGAAGAGTACATATCAATGGTGGATCAGGTCTGCGCATCTGTGCAAGCTTTGCCTGAAGTGCTGGGATGAGTTCTTACCGAGTGAAGTTTCTGGTAGAGACCGCATGCATTGCACACATATCCGCCATTTGCATTCTTTCGCCAGAGAGAGGTCTTTGTGGTCAGGCAATTGGCACAAAATACACCAGAGCCTCTCCGCCTCTGAAACAGGAGGAAAAAAAAAATCCAAGGTCAGAGGTGAGTCACATGATCCAGAGAGTAAGACCAAATCAACCCAGGAGTTTTGTCTTCAGATTTGCAACAATGACAGTATAAAACCACACTGCCTATAATGAGGTCAGGTTCAATTGTGTTTAATAGGCACCACTGATTTTCATTATAATTAACCCTACAGTGATGGATGAGGTGTGGGGAACACCAAAGGCTTTTCACAGAAACAGCTTTAACTTTTTGAACTTTGGGTTGCATGCTTTCAATGATGGCTCCTAAATGCTCAACCCCCAAACATACCTTTTAAAAGTGTCAAAACAAAAGGAAAAGAGATAGCACATGGCAATATGTTTAAAGTAGTTTGGAATATGCTACCTGAGTCTTTGAATACAGGTTAGAGCAATTCATCATAGAAAACATTTAACATTAAACCAGACTGGTTGCTTTTTGTATGCCATTCCTACAACAAAAGGACTACGATAATGTAAGACTGCCTGTTCTGGTGTTTCCCTTGTGCTTATGAAATCTGAAAGAGAACACCCTCTATTCTCCAAACCTGAGGGGACCTTTAGACACTTTTGCCTAGGAAAAAATACAGTATTGCTGATGCAAACACTTACGAGGTGTCTGCTGAAGTTAGATAATACAGTTCTGTCACTGGCTCTTTACTTAATTTGACCTTAAAGTTAGAAATCCATAGGTTTGTTGAATGCTATGTTGATTGTAGAGGTCTGAATTATGAAATCACCAGGTTCAAAGATTACTGAAGAATATTTAAAAGTTGCTAATTAGGACTGCTGGTTGCATTTGTGTGCCCAAGTAACAATTCTGTTGAACTTCTCATTTCAACAAAAGTCAGGCTGTGTGTAGGCACAAATAGGAACAGGCAGGAAATAAAATACTCTTGCAAAAAGCTCAAATTGTAGCTCAGCTCTCCTTTTGCTAGGAAGCAAAGCCTTTAATGATAAAATAGGCATGTGAGATAAGAAGTGGAAAAAGTCTTGGTGTACCCTAATTTTATTATAAATTAAATATTACAAACACCATAAGTCAAAATTTTAGGGATTCATAAAATTTAGGCAATTTATTTAACTGGAGTCTATACTGTAGAAGAGTGGTACGCCTGCCAAAAAAGTACAATGGTTATAATTGTACTCTGATACATTTCAAATGGAAAGCTTTCTGCAGACATAATTTTGGCTTCGAGACTGGAACACTTTCTTGGCATTGAAAGGGCATTTGATTCATCGGGTGTTTCACAATCTATCACTAAAAAGACCTGGTGAGCAGCCAGCTCCCTATAGGGTAATTTTTCCATCCAGATGCAAGTGCTATCAGAGGCCCTCGTCAGCTAAACTAATTATGATCTTGCAATTGCTGATGCCTGCTCACTCTAACATTCGACATCCTCCATTAATCATCAATACAAGGAAAATGAATGAAACGTAAAGAAATGAGGGCTGCTAAGCTGCACAGCTATAAAATTCCAAAATGAGAGCAATAACTTAACAAGATTGGGGGAATGTTTTTAGTGAGCACAAAAGTCAGGCTAACAATTGCCCTTTTAAACCAAGAACACGATTTCATTAGTGTAGCAGTTTGTGCCACTTTAGGCGATGTAATAAAAACTAGATTTTCACAATGATATCTCCAGCTCCCCTTTGCTGTGTGCCCCAAACCCCAGTCATATGCAGGAATGCATTGTGAGTTTCCAAATCTCCACAACAGCAACATCAAACATTCCAGTCAGAGGTCTGTGGGTCCCAGTTGGGGTCTGCTGCTGAGGTAGAGAGCACACTGCCACCCAGAACGCAATAAGCAACTCTCAGGTGCAATTACAAAGCAATCCCAGCACCATTTATCCAAAGGACGCTGAGGTGGGGTAGGGGGGAGCTGTTTAGGTTTTAACTGTTAATGTTTCATGGTGACATCCTATCGTTGCCTTAGATCTAACTAATTCAATGGTAAATCAACTCGAACGTGAGCCATACAAAGTCCCTCTTAATGTCTTATGGAAACCAATGCACATATATGGCCAAGACCTGTCTGCTCAGGGTTGAATGTGAAATGATTGACTCCAACTTGCTTTTCTTTTTGTGTGCTCTGGGTGCCTGACACAGCATGACAAAGTGGGCGTAATTCTTATTTCAGTAAGTATGCCGATCTTTGCATAATTTGAAGCCTAATATTTTTGTCCTTCATTAGTGGGGGTGGGGAGTAGGGTGATCCTGAAATTACAGCACTGGTTTCCATAGGTTTTATTTTGTACTTAGCAATTACATGTAGTTCAGTAAAGGTCACTGTGATTTAGGATAAACCATATCTTATGTTAAATATATCAGGTATATTTTTAATTCTCAAACTCAATCAAGATGCCTAAGAGGTTACAAATCAGTTTGAGGAGTGAGGCTACAGTATTCAAACCTATTTCTGTTATTTACTAGGAGCTACTCTGGGAAATGCTGTTTGAACTCTCAGTCCTGAAATGGCCCCTGGTCCACATCGCTGTATTCATAGTGTGTAGTATACACTATTAAAACACAGCAGAGAGAAAGTAGCTTGACTGGTAAACGCCTAGCAAGCCTAGCTACTGGTTAAAGACATTTAATTTTGACTATATTTTCTTGAGAAAATGTGTTAGTTTTGTTTTCATTGCCTTCAATGTCATCATTGAACATCCGAGACACACTTACACACCCACTGACGCACTGTCAGTTATACTTTCCTTGCATATTTCCTATAGATTGTGAGAATGGAAAACTGAGTCAGAGCAGGAGATCTAGGTGTTCACACCTCTTCTTCAATAAGAGCCTGCTTGTGCTTGGGTGCAGAGTGGGAGGGAGGTGAGAATTATTTTTCACATAAAATGTTGTCTCATCTCAACCAACTTAGCACTTTTGAACCCTCTCAGAACCATATATTGGAAGCTCGGAAATTTCTTGAAGCAGCAGCAAAGGTAGAAAGTTTGGATAGTGTCCCCAGCTTAGCAGCCACAGAACCTCATCTCTAAAACCACACACAGCCAAGAACCCTGACTGGACACAGGGAGGTATTTCCCTGGGGTATGCAACCCCTGACTCCACTCCTTGGCAGAGAAGCAGTCTGCTACCAAAGGACAGAAAGGGGAGTCCTTTTGCCTGTCTTGGAAAATAATTTTTGCCCTAACTTAAAGAAAATACCTATGAATGATGAATTCAATGATTTCAAGCCTATCTTGCATGGCTTCCTCTTAGAGATTGTAGGTTTTCTCCTTAAGAGTGATACATTCTTAAGAAAAGAAACTATCTCTTGGTTTATTTTAAATGAACATTGAATATTTTAAATGGTAACCACCAAGGACTGTGCTGCAAATAACATTGCTTGTAATTATTTTCACCCCTAATATACACTTTTTTTTTCCAAATAAAATTAAAGATGTTCCCTTCAGATTCAGAGAATTAATCTGAGTCAAGAAGAAACAATCAATTATGGTATAGAAAATAAAATTATAAAAATAATACACTGTCTGTTCTTGTTTTTCCACATTTATTTTCAGGAAGTAGTGATGCCAAGTTTTGGTAGATGTTGGAGTTACTAGGTCAGGCAAGGCCAAAGCCCGAACTCTCCATTATTATACTCATACATTACTGATGGTCCTGCATCGTGTCCATGAGTGGTTTCAATTACAAGTTTCATCATTTCCTACAAGCGGTTCTTAAGAGATAGTAATAACATGTGCTGCTCTGACCCTGTGCTAGGGAGTGGAGAATTACAGGTCTGGAATAAGGCAGTGCTTGGGGAGGAAATGATAGGCAGAGTGGCAAGTGGATTACAGCACCTGCCATTCCCGAGGGATGTACTTAGCACTAATCTTTCCTCTCTGAATGAAGGAAAGATGACTACTTAAGAACATGCACAGAAGATGTCTTCTCAGTCCACGTGCATCTTCTTCTACCTGGGTTTAGTGGACGCTACAGTGAAGGAAGATTGTCCTCTAACCCAAACCTACACAAAGTCAACTCATCTGTCTCTACAGAAGAAACACCCCAACATCTGTAACCAACACTTCAATAAAAGGAGGCATCTTTAGCCTCTCAGTGGACACCGAACCTCTGTGGGAGTGACACTAACATCCACTGATGCTTTGCTCAGACAAGAGCTTACGTCCTCAGCCAGCTATATATCGTTCTATGCAGAGATTTGGCACGTGTTGGTTAATCCAGATATGACACGTTGTTTCAGCTACTTTTATTGCTTATTTTATTTTACTACTTGAGAATCATCCAGTAACAAAAATTTTAGTCTTTTCATGTTTCATTATTAAAAACTGAATTCACCTGATTAATAAAGGGAAATTTTGACTGAATTATTTATTCAAGTGGCTTAACATTCATAGACAAGACTATTCATTTCTAAGATATTAAAAGTCTCCATTGGCAAAGAAATTTTTGCAAAAATGATCTTTTATAATAGTTTTCTATGAATAAGAACCATTCTGGGACCATGTAATTTTATAACAAGCCTTGATAGGGAGAATATTTACTCACATTTTTTATGGTTTTATATCTTAGCCGTTTTAAATCGAATCAATCTGAAATTTGATATACATGCTGTTACCCTGGATGTGCCTCAAATATTTTTAACTCTTTAAATATTTTCTGTGTTTATTTGATTATATCAAGAATTCTTTGCAAATTTCATTTTAGGGAAACACACAGATGGCTATGATAGAACCTTCTGGTTCAATTTTGCAGTAATAAAATTTCAGTGGTAAGTTTAATTCAATTCAGTTCTGGGAATAATTATTGAGTGTCCAGCCTGTGCCTGGCACTGTGCTACAAGCTGGGGTCTAAGCTATACACAGTTTCCTATGGCCTGGAATCTTACAGATTTTCTGGTGGACACAGGGCTGAAGTGCGGAGGGCACCAAGAGCAAATTACATGGAAAGTTTATCAAAGCATTTCCCATACTCACAGTCATCTTAGGGGCTAAATTTTTTCTAATGATCAGAACATTGACTATTGGTGAGCCTTTGTAAAAACATGCAGTAGTCCAGGATTTCAGAAACAAGTTACTAATTGTTTATTGCTCATTGGTAAGAACAGTCTATCAATAGCTCTCAAAGAATTGAACTAAATATGACTTACTACTTAATTATGTGCACAAATCATATCCATACTATATATTTACAAGTTGTTGAACAAATACTGAAAACTGTTTTAGGCCCGATTGCTTTCATTTACTACAATGAGACACAGAATGTTGTATTCGCATTCTCTTTCTTCAGAAATAGAATCGGTTACTTATACGCAATCATACAAAACACCTGTAATATAGAGTGATGCAGACACAAGAAAATAAAAACAGTGGATCATGTGCAGTGATCAGCTTTATTGTAACAGCCAGAATTATTCCAGAAGGACAGGCTGGCCAATAATTTAATGAGAATACAGCAAAATTTCTGCCAAGAGAAAGCAACAGTCACTGATATTCTGGCTGACTTTTGTTCCAAATAAAATTATGAAGAATCAGATGAAATGGGCTGTACAACATGACTACAGCTGCTTTAAAAGAACCCTAGCTGTCCTCAGATTTCTTGCCCAAAACCAAAGGAACTCTATAAAGTTCAGCCAAGCACCCATTCCATAATCACCTATTTCAGAGCTTGGAAAGAAAGCCTGCTTCCCCTGCTTACTTGAGTCACATCTCAGGACAAACAGCACAACTCCTGCTCTCCAACATGAGACACTGTACATTCCAGTCATCGCTATTATATCCAGGTGCATAAATATTTTCCCATGATGCCTAACTAGAGTGAACCAGCCATTGCTAAGGTACTATAATATTAGTTCTATCTCTTCTCATATGTAATAGGTGATTCCAGCAGTAAACAACAAAATTTCCCAATGCATCTCACACAGACTACCTACTCAGACAGTCTTCAGACATGAATATTTTAGAAGTTTATTGCATAGATAGAAAACCTACTTCATAGGTCTTAGGATGACATCACCTAGATTTGACATACCCTACATTTGGCAAATGAGCTAACCAGCAATCCAGAGTGCAAACAAATTATGTCACAGAACCGGAGCTGGAAAAGTCCAGATCTTTAGACTTCTGGCCCATGCTGTTTCTGTTATAACACTCTGCTGTCACAGCAAGTATGCATTTGGACAGCTAAAAATATGGTTGAAAATTTATGTCTGCACTGTCATTTTTCATTCCACGTGAAAGTCATTATTGTCAAAAGATCTACTGAAGTTTCTCTGTGCTTTCATTTCTGAGACCATGGAACTGCTTTCAACTTTCCTTTGGCTACATTCACTGGCTAATTGTTTTACAGAGATTTTTTTCTTCAATGCCAGTGACAAAATCTAACACTGGAAGAATATATATATATATATATATATATATATATATATATATATATATATATGCTTTTGGGAGACACTGTTAAATAATTTAGCATCTGCTGGAGAATATATCAACTGATTCTGTTAATTTATTATATATCTTATTCATAGGACATATTTTATAAGCACATTCATCATGAGAATAATTCACAATGGAGAAACAAACCGTGATTGTAAATTTGCATTTACAGTGTTGACTGTGATTTGAAAGAAACAAAAACACCAATAATTTTTATACATTAGTTACCCAGGTAATAACAAGCCCATGAAGAGCTACTGTCCTGAAAGCAGTTATTTATGCATAAATGGTATTTAAAATGACTTCTAATATTACGGGAATCATACATTCTTATAAACATTTATCATAATTTGCACAGAAAATAATAGACATGCAAAATACTTCACAAACACCTTCATAATGTTCAAAAGACTGCCCCTTACAGATGATCTACTATGTATACAGGATTCTGAGTACTCTGGATTCCAAGGTTAGTGACTCTCAAATACGTTATTCCAGTTTATGTTTGATGTGAATAATTAGGTATTATTTTTCATCTGTTGATAAGGTAAATGGTGATGCCTTAAAAGACTTCTCTGACACATACCATCAAAGCAAATATATCCTGATTTCAGAGATGCAGGATGGCATCATCACTAAGGTGCTTGCCATACAAATATGGAACCCTCAGTTCAGATCCTTATCACTGTGCTACAAAGCCAGATCAGCTCAGTAGTACACATCTGCAGGTTCAACACTGTGGAAGTAAAGAAAGTTGGACCCATGGAGTTTCCTGGCTGGCCAGCTTACAGAGACTGGGAAGTGCCAAGCTTAGTGTTAAACGCTGTCACTGAATATAATTTGGAGAGGCACTGAATAACATAACCACTGATAACACCTGGCCTCTACACATGCATATACCCCTGAATGAGTGGTCACAGCTATGAGAACCTATTACACCTACCTACACCAGAGACATACCGCCTCTCAAACACACACACACACACACACACACACACACACACACACACACACTTCTCCTGGAGGGAATACAAGCTTTAAGTATACAGAGTTCAAAACAATCCACAGTGACATTTAAAAACCCGTATCTGTGTCCTTGAAGAGGTAGTGATCAAACATTACTATGAGGCACATTACAGGCTTTCAGATATTTAGTTCAAAATGTGAGTCTGAAAAACACTAGTGTGTGTATGTACGTGCATGTATATGTGTGTGTTACGTACAACTAGGAAAAATGATGTTGAATTTCATGCAGATTTTCAATCTTTAAGATATTTTAAAGTACTATCACATTTTAATTTAGCCTTGTGCTTCCTAAGGACGCATAAAATGGTAGTTATTTAAAGAGATGGTTCCAAAGGCTGAAGTAGACACCTGGTATATGATCATCCCTCAAACCGAAGCTCCATCTACACTGAGCGCCATGCGGCTCCCACAGGTGAACAGGACACCAGCACACAACTTCATTATCAAAGCACTGTGCAGACAGGGGAATCGAAGCTGATTTGTAAAAGTTTAATAACACGACTTCAAAAAGGACTGCTTGGAATTTCCTTAACAATGGTGATGTATTTAGTAATAACTGAAATCTTTCCTGGGAGGACTGCTTCTTCAATAACTGCCCCAGTAAATTACACAAGAAAGTTCTATAATAGGCTGCCTCGCCCCCCACCCCCACCCGTCAAATAGCTCACGTACAGGACTTCCTTTTCAATTACCAACTTGTCTGCAGTACCATCTGTAAAAACGAACACATACCTTATGGGCTCCCTCTCTGCTTTTGCGCATCCATTAGTGCGGCTGGCTGCAGCTGCTCAAGAATAAAGCAGTGATTGTTTTTGCTTTGAGAAGCGTGCGCGCGCGTGTGTGTGTGTGCATGTGTGTGTGTGTGTACCACACATATACATATATTTATATATGTTTCAATCATACGCTCACTTAAATCTGGCCCTGGCCCTCTTTGTACCTGAATTTTGTTAATCACACTGTATCACATTCCACAGCAAGAAGTACCTCACCTCACCAAGGACTCTCAAGATGTCTGCTTAGTCATCAGAACCAAAAGGAACAGTTAAAATTCTCTCCAACTTTGACATTTTGTACATGGAGCATAGCGTCAGAAAACCAAACCTGAGACCTGCCTTTGCAAACAGACACAAAACTCCTGAAAAGGGGGGTTTTATTTCATAAGAGGGGCTCTGAAAATAGAACACAGTGTCTTTTTGAAAATTATTTCTTTGCCTCATGTTTATATTCTTCCTGTCAGGATCAGTTTTGCCCTGCAGAGACATTATTAAGTTTCCCATACTATCTGCAAAAGACATAACTAAGTAATCGCTAGAAATTATCAACCATTTCTCCAAGTACTCTGCAGGAAATATGTCTCCCTATTGTGAAGGGAAGGAACTTTAGAAAGAAAAGAAAGAAAATAATCATATTCTAAAAAGAAAAATATTAGGCAAAGAAATGAGAAATATGCTGAAATGCAAAGCCCAACACAGAAGTAAAAAAATTAAAAGAACAAATAATAGCTTACATATCATATATTGTGAGTATTCCATATTTTAAAAATCATCACACATGTAGTGTTCATCATATAAGTTTTTTTTTGGGGGGGGGGTCAGGGCATTTTAGACTTGGCCTAGCTTTTTGTATATAATATGGTTTTTAAATCACCAAACAGCTTTACATTCTTGGTATTTAGAGTAAGTGACAGAGTATAGGGGCTTAATTTAAATCTAAAAGTTGTAATTAGGGACCTGGGGGATTCTGCAACATGGGCCTACTTTTCTTTTAACATTTATATTATATGTTAAATAGACACATATAATAGACACATTTACTCACTGAGAACTTAGGTCAACAGAGCTCTGTCAAAAGCGATACTGTTCACTTTGAGATGTCTCTCAAAAATCTTTTTCATAGAGAAATATTAATTATTTATTACAATTTATTCACTTTGTATCCCCACTATAGCCCCTCTCTCATCTCCTCCTAGTTCCACCTACCCTCCCTTTTCTCCCCTTATGCTTCTGCCTTTGTCCACTGATAGGGAAGGTCCTCTTCTTCTTTTATCTGACCTTAACCTATCAGGGCTGGATGCTTCATCTTCCTCTATGGCCTGGCAAGGCTGCACCCTGCCGAGAGGGAGGTGATCAAAGGCACCTCTGTGATATGAGTGGGAAAATCAAATTTTAAGCGTAGCTTTTATGAAATTCAAAATTGACTCACTTTTGTAGAGTGCCAAAATAAGATTTGTAAACACAGTTTCACTTGCTGAAATCCTAAACAAGAATTCTTCATCTTCCTCACACTCCATATTCTTTGAAATCTGGAAGAGGTCTTGTTGGTTTAATCCCTAAACAGTTTAAAAAGCATATGGGAACTGCATATGTGGATATGTGTATTTGAACACATGTTCATATTGCAGCTATATAAGGTATGTGCACATAGGCTGACAAATAAAGCCATCCATTTGTAACACTTTCAGCGCTAACCTGGAATGAAATCACACAGCTTGCCTTCATCTTTGTTAAAGTGATATCACATTTTATAAGTGGGACTGACATACCAATGGTGATCTTAAGAGGGTTCACTCTTTCAGGGTTAAACATAAATAAAATTACACAGGAATATTTAAATAATTAATGATATAATTAATTTTTTTTATAGAGAACATTATGTAAGGGCATGATAGAGAACTTGAGAATGTGGACTTCACTCCAGCTTAAGGATGATTTACGCTAGTAGGTGGAAAGCAGTATAAACAACTCTATCATGACTCATTTTATCACCACTTTATTTTATTTCTAGGTTTTAGAGTACTCTTAACTCACATAATATCCAAGTAACATAAAATGTATCCATATGTAACAAATTCACAAATACAGTGCTTGTTGCTGAACTTTTATTTCTTTTTTCACATCAGAAGACAATGTATATTTCAAGATATAGTTTTTTAGATTATATTTGCATAGCTAAATAGCTTTTGACAATATGATATAGCTCAATGACTATGATAACACATTTATTTGCATATTTGGACCTACACAAGGAAAAAATAATTTATACTTTTTTTCACAACAACAAAGTCTCTGTGGATGATGACCTAAGACTCCTTCATTGAAGTAACTACTTTAAAAAGGTTTACCATTATTAGACATGCTTTATAATATGAATACCTTCTCCCACTTTTGCAATTGTTTTTTTTTTTAATTCCATTTTTTTTTATTTCTCATTCCTGCTTTTTTCATAGTGTTTCAAAAAGACTTTAAGAATTTCAGTGCATAAATCCACTTTGGTAATAGATTCACTTTGAGATACATGAGCCCATCAAAGATACAAAATGTATGTCTGTTTGTTTTGAGACAGGTCTTCTTGCTGACCTAAAACTCACTATGTAGACCAAAAAGTTTGGTCTCAAAATCATGGAGTTCTTCCTACTTTTGCTTTGTGAGTGCTGGGAATAAAGATATGAAAGACCACAACCAGCAAGATATATATTCTTATCCAAAATTAAGTGGAAATTTGGGGGAAAAATAAGTGCCATTTGGATTCTTCTAGAATATAAAAGAATGCTTTATGGTTCACATTGCTTTATATGTACTCTGTTGCTCATATCTAGATACAGAAAGTTTCTTTCATTTATACAACGAAGCTGCAGATACTATACACAGGAAGTACACTAATGAATATTTAACTCATTGGAAAAAAATCTGATAGCTTGTATTTTTTTTTGGGTCATACCTAGAAAAATGTATAATAATTAATTTGAGATGAATATCTACAAATTTATATTGCTTTGTAATAGGACTACTATCCTCAGTTAAACACACACATATACATTCAGTTACATACATGTACATAAATCCATATGAAATGTGCTTGAAAGTCTTCTATTTTAATATGTCTAAAATCTCTAGGTGACAATAAGCTTACATTACAGTGATTAAAAATTAAATTCCTTTTGTTTTCAAATTTAGAAGGTTATTTCTGACTGAGGTGATAAAACTCCTCTTTGATGAAAAAGTGGATGTGAAGAATATAATGTCAGAATGTAAGACTAACCTCATATTATAACAGCAGACAAATCATTTTACACACTCTATGGTGCAAACAGTTGTATATTTGCTCATTTTGAAGTGGCTTTAGCAATTCTTTTCTTTTACCTAACATCTAAAGTTTTTTGGAATTTGAAAACATATGAATAAGCATATAAGTTTAGACAGAAAACTTTACTTATTAAGTTGAATATACAGCTAAAAGTGCGCACACATGTATATATATATGTATATATATATATACATTTACACTCATATATATGAGCGTATATATATCAGAACAAAAGGTATGACTATATTCCTTTAAATCCAATTCAAAAAATGAAGTATAAATTGGTTAAAATCTAGGTTAAAATCTGAAATAATACACATTTTCAAAAGACAGGTGAAGTATTTTGTAACCCAAAGAAAAAGTAAAAATTTTAAAGAAGAAAATAATTAGTAGAAATTTAGCTAATTAGTCAACCTAACAAAGGTCTTTTATGTGCATAGTTTTACAAATTTTGGAAAATGACCAAATTATTCCACTTATATCATTAGCTTGACCCCTTCTAAGAACTGACCTCTTTAATAGATTTGTTTTATAAGGTATGGCATTGTGAACAGCTGTGCTATTCTTCCTTGAACTTGACACTTTTTTATATAAGATGAAAATAGTCAGCATTCACTAAAGCATGTATATACTCCTTGGTAACAGTGGGGAAAGGGAGCAATCACATATGGAAAAATAAGGTGAGTGCCTATCTGAACGTGTCATAAAATACACAAGGATACTCGCGTAATTTTAAACATTTGAACTAGTTAAAAATTATGTCGAATAGATTTGAAATTATCTCCACAAACTGTATTTATCGATATAAAGAGCTTTGATTGCTGAAGTGAAAACACACACACACACACACACACCTGAAATGTGTTTTGCAAAGCTCCCAACAGGAGTGCATGCCATTTGTATGTCCCCCGCTCCGTGTGCTGTGCTCAGTCTACTGGGGAAGGCCTCTCGAAGATGTTATCTTTGAAAACCAAATATAAACCAGCAGTGAGGTAGACAATTTCAGAAAACTTCTCTAGATTTTTTTTTTTTTTTTACTGTGCACAATTTGTATCTGTAACAGGAGTTTTATTTATCATAAAAATAGTAAAAAAAATATTTAATGTAGCATTTAAGTAATTCAATTTCACCTGAGTTCTGGTTTTACTTAGAATTTTCTTAATTGTAAGAAGCAACAGTGGACTTATAGATGAAACATGAGGTAGGAAAATAAGCGTTGAATGGTTCTGGCTTCTTTTGTATCCAATTCAGTACCCAAGTTTAGTCTTGTAGGGTGGTCATATTAATTTTCTACTTTGGCTCCACATAGCATCTCGACATGTAATTCAAAATAACACTTCAGTCAAGAAATAAATTGTGGCAGAGCATGAAAAGCACACATGAAAGCTTTTCTTCATTTTAATTATTTTTTTAAGAAATTAATTATCTGCTTACCTTTCTGCTGCTGCTAATATACCCCCCTGCCCATTATGCAAAGTCACTGTACTTTTCACAAGAAGTAGAAACATTTGAGTGGAAAAAGAGTCAGACAGCCCCGTTTCTATAGTCTTGAGGATAATTGTTACCTTTTTTCTCTTCAAATTTAAAAGCTAGCAGCATCTGTTTTGCTCAAGGAGGTTGTTTAAAGCTCATGCTGCCAGAATCCTTCCACCCTGAATTGGTTTAGGATTATTTAAAAATAATTATTTTGTGCCACTAAGCCTACTCTCGCTGCAAATGTCCATATGCAGCATGACAATGAACACGGAGGATCTGTGTTTCAGACTCACCTTCATGTGTACATAAACACATATTTTACATGGGTGTATCTGCTGGGTTATTTACACTTAACAAAAACATTGGAGAAAAATTCTGAAAAAGAATGTAGAAGCAGTAGTCTGAGTTATAATCATTATGAAAAAGGCAGACATGTATAAATAAAAATTAATATTCACAACAAAATCTGAAAACAATTTTTACTTAAGCTTCTGGAAGCAGATCTTTTTACTATATTTATTATATTACCTAAAAGAATCTGGAAATCAATTTTTTTACTTTATTTATTTTTTATAAAATCTTCTATGGTAATAAAATACCTGATTATTAGCAGTGAGAATTTACTTTGACAACCTAAAAATGAATTTTACAATAAAATATCATAAAACTACAATGTGCCAACCATTTTGTTGAAACCCTTTTCCACTGAGTTGAAGCTCATAAAATGAAGTAAAATCAGTATTAGGAAAATGTATCTTTGAGTTCAAAGTTTCAAGTTTTAGGTGTGCTCACTTTTCTAAATGAAAGCGTGATTTTTAATATGATACTACTGGTGCAATTTTGCACTAGAACTACAATTAAAATGCATTTCAGTCCTCATCATAAACACTAGTTACCTTCAGCCGCCTTCTTGGTTGATTTAGATTTTCCTTAGCAACCAATGCAGAGCCTTCTCCACCCCTTTATTTCTTTGAATGTTTATTACCTGTTGAAATCTTCTTGGCTTGCAAAAGTAGCAGCCAGGAAAGGTATAAACTTACAACTTAAACGCTTGATATTTAATCAGTAAGCAGAGGATTTTCTCTGTCTTTTAGAAAAAGTAATGAAAAGACTCAGCTTCCCAGAAAATCAAAATTCTTGGGTCATTATAACACACGGAAAAGAAACATGATCTTCTTTACTTAGTTATTATAAATTATTAATATAGTATCTATGAACACAATCACTACTTAGTTTCTGCTACTCAGTGTGCTATAGTCCTGGAATTCCAGCTACTCGGGAAGCTGGAGGCTTGTATGTTCAAGAGCTACATGAACAATTGAGGATCTTCTCTGAAAACAACCGCTAACAGCAGTGGGTGGAACTCACTTAGAGGGATGAAGTCCTAATGCCAGTCCTGTAAAACTTAACAAGCGAACAAGAATAAAACACACAAATTTGTACGATCTCAAGGTCTTTCCTTTTAAACTCATATCTTTATCTAAGTTTCTCACAGGTAAATAGTCAAAGTATGCACTATGTGAATTCATCTCTGAGTAATCAGTATCATTTCTAGACCGAAGTATCAGGGTAAAACTAATGATTAAGAATAAAGAACTTGTGGTTTTTTGTTTTTTTTTTTTTTTTTGTGATTGTGAAGACCCATAGATCTGTTCTGTATCAGGGTTCACAGTCCCTGTATTAGGCTGCGAACCGCATCAGTTTAGGAGATGATTCTTTTTGTGGGAGATGGTGGTTATCACAGAGATCCACAACTGAACGGTGTACAGAGTGAGAGACTTTGTAACAGTCATTCCTAAATACAATGTCTTCATCAAACCCCTCACTTAAGTCTCAGTGATCTATGCAGAAGAGGAGGTAGGAAATTTTTAAGAGTCAGAGATGATGGAAGACTTCAAGGAAACAACATCTTACAGAAACAAAAGGATTGATGCATCTATGAACTCACAGAGGGGTGACATCTCAAACAGAACCTGGACAGGTTCAAAGCAGTCAGAATCCAAGGACTGAGAAGAGGAGATAGCTACAAAATCCCATACTAACCAAAAAGCTATGGAAAATGAAATCTGTTTTCTAATGGAGTGTCACTGGATATATCAACCATACTCCAAGGCAGGGCTTCCGACCAAGAGTAGTTAGCCAACTCAAAACATAATCTCTGTTCTTTTGTTTGCTTTTCCTTTTGTCTTGGTATTTATATTGTTTGTATTTATTTGTTTTTATATAGAGAGAAAGAACATGAAGTTGTGTGGGTAGGGAGGTAGGGAGAATCTGAGAGGTGTTGAGGAAGTCAAAGAAAATGATAATATACATATGTTAATATATATAATTAGATGAGAAAAATAAAAAAAATCTAGTAAGACAAGGGAACTGAGTGCTGCTGGCTGCAGAATAAGATCATTCTTAAATACATCTGTAAGGCCTTTCTTCTCTGCAGGTGGATAACTACCAGAGATTCCTCAGGAAGCAGCTTGGGTATGGGGGCATCTAAGATGCATAGGAGATCCAGGTGGGAGACCCTAATAGAACTGTTCCTGCTGGGCAGGTTGTTATTCCCAGCAGTGTCAGCATCACTTTCAGTTAAAATCAGAAGGGACTAACAGAATACCAGTAAGCTCTTAGGGCTCTGTGGCTGGAACTCATTCTTTTAAACAGTTACAAGGATGTTCTCTCCAAAGTCAGCAGAACCTGAATAAATTGGCAGCTTCCTCAGGTGGTGGTTTTGAAAGTCTACACTCTTTCTGTAAATTCTGCTGTGTTTATTTATAAACGTCTTATTACTTTAAATTATCGCTTCATGTAAGGAAAGTCCAGTACCTTTGAAGTGTTTATAATTTTGAGGAGAGGTAAGGTAAATACACATGAAGCAATTAAAAAGAACGACGCAAGAGAGCAGACATGTCTCAATCCTAGGATTTTTATGATTCTTAAGTTTCTAAATGGCATATAGTTAATGAGAAAGGGAGGCACAGATGCACACATTCAGCTATGATGCCCATGCATGTAGGTGGAGAGACATGAATACCAATTAATCATTAATCACCTTTATATCCTTTACTTTCTTTTAGTCACTCATGGCAAAAAATAGAACACAAACTGGATTCATATGAAGGAAATCCTTTGACTCATACAGTTGAACATCTGGGGAAGACTGACTTTAAGCATAGTTTAACCAGGATTCCAGTGGTATCTCAAGATCAGTTTCCGTCCCTCTGGAATATGCTTCCTGTACACAGACAAGGTAGAGCCGAACCTCCAGTGCCTTTTGTGATGTATGTTCTACTTACTGTAAAAGCCTCTGGGAAACTGCTAAGACCAAATGCAAAAGAGCCCAGCTCAATATCCTCAGATGAATCCTTGTTGGCCAAACGTAAACCATGCCTCTCTATGGCTATGTGGATATAATGTCTGCATTCATTTTTTCAGACTTTAATATACAGAATAAATTACCAGATGATGTTGTTAAATAAAGACTTTTATTTAGTAAGTCTGGGATAGGATACCATTTCTAATAGGGTCTAATAAGTTGAGTACTAAAACTACAAGGCACACATTTTGGCGTTGAATCTAGGGCATAAAAATCAGTTTTGTATAAATCATATTAAAGGAAAATAAGAAATAAATGCATTGTTAAGAGAAAATTAAAGACTGTTACCAGAAATAAAATATTAAAAATAAAATGAGGTTAATGTTTCCAAAGTGTATAATTTGAATTTTTATATTTCACACAGACGCACATTCATACATGCACATATAAACATGTTTGTATTTATATGTGTATGTGCATGTGATCGTCTATACACTATTTTTCTAGAAAAGGGTGGGGGAGCCTTTCACTAAGTAAAGCATGTGATAGTGCTTCAGAAAACATGTGAACGCTCTGTCCAAGCAAGCTGGCTTTCTCTTTAGTTGAATAACCCTCAAAAGAATCCATCATTATCTATACTTCTCATGTAACTGTTTGGACAAAACTGATCCACACTATTTTTTCTCCCTCCTACAAAAGCTGTCTGAGGAGGAAGTGGTATAATGTGCACCATTCTGCTGAAGAATCTGGAATAACTTGCTGAAAACAACCTAGCACAATGAGAAGGACTACCCCCAAGGCAGGTGCCATGGTCAACTCTTTGATATTCAATCAGTGCCATTTCCTGAGTTCTAGGTGAACACACTGAGAACATTTGGATGTTTCATAATAAAAGCCCTGCGGCCAGCTGACTGGAGAACCCTCTTGAAGGTTTATCTAAACTCAAGGCCAAGGGAGCTTTCCATCTGACACAATGGCGACATCAGATTTGTTATCTGAGTGCATGCGTTTACTGTCTTGCCCTGAACATCACAAAGTATTCAATGGGCCATTAACTGTCTCCACCGGCTTACCATGTTAGGAAACTAAAAATCCAATGAAGGTACTATTCTTATTTTCTAGGAAGGCTGAATATCTAAATCAACAAGAGGAGGGTGTACTTCTTTTATATGAAGAACCTAAACAGAAGAGGGGAAATGAAAGTAGCCTTCCTAGCTCTGCATATGATCCTGGTTCACATTTACACAGCAAATATTAGATTAATGACTATCTATTTCAGCTATGGCTCTCTTCACATTCTACAGCAGCCAATACACCCTTCTGTTTGAATTCTGCAGTGCTCCGCATGTGTCTAGTTTGTTTGGTTACAGATCAGAGTCAAAGAAAACACTGTATCTACAACAATGAAACATTTTTTAGACTCTATTTTCCAATATGGGTTAAATGCATTCAATAATTTACTAAGTGAATTTTAAGTAAATTTTCGTGCTTCTTAATGTAAAAATACCAAATCATAGTATGTTTTTCTAGATCCAAACATGTACTAGCCAATATCATAAGCCTAAAGATACAGAGGACTTAAATACACGGTCAGAAAACAGTAAAAGATTCACTTACAACTGAAAGAATATGAATCTGGTACAACATGTTTCTATGTACAGGATTATACAAAGCAGAGAAAAGACCCATGAGATCCCATTCTAAGCTGACACTTATCTGAAAATCAGTCATTCGTTTCTAGCACCCTTGGGTGAGCATCATGGCCAGCACCATGCTGGAGGTTCCACCTGTAGACACTTAGCTAAACAGAAAGCTGTTAAGATTTAATGCAAGGCAAGACCGCATGGGAGCTATGGGCAGATGGCAGAGGAGAACTCCCCCTTTCAGTGGACTAGGGGAAGAGGATAGAGAGAGAGGAAAGGGAGGGAGGGAGGGTGGAACTGGAAGGAGTTGAGGGAGGGGGCTTCAATAGCGATATATAAAGAAAAAAAT